AACTGTTCTTGTTTCAGCATACAGTACTAGGAAGGGGAAAGGGGAGCGGGGGGAGGAACAAGCCACAGGCTAATATGTTGTAGAACTCACTAGTCCTGCAGAGAGTGGAAATTTATGTGCTATTCATTCACTAAGAAAATAGTTTGCCAAGGTGCTACTGATGGTTTCTATGACAACCCGAAGAAAGCTTTTACACCTTGCTCTTGTTTGCTGGGAAAAGGGTGAAAGGGGGGGGGGTGAAGAAAGAGACTCCCAAAACAAATTAACACAAATCAATAAGTCAATAATAGACAGGTAGCCTAAAAAGTTTTGACTGCAGTCCTACAAAAACCTGCGAGCAAGTTCGGTCTTGGTAGGACTTGTTTATTACTAACTAATTAAGCACATATAAGATTGCGTTTTGGAGCTCATTATGGGCTTTGGGAGACTCCTTCTCTCAGCCTTTGGAATTATAAAAATATAACTCAGAAAACCATTCCAAGAATTTTTCTAGGTTAGCGCCACTCTCAGTTAATGCAAATAGAACTGATGATAGAAAAAAAAATGGTGACCTAAATTGTAAGAACAAAGAATTATGACTTAAATTATAAGAGAAAGAGAGGATGTGAAACAAGGAGAATCATATGTGACTACTGTATAGAATTTATGATATTCTTTATGCTTTTCATATATAAACCTCATGTATATGGGTTTTCTCTGTGTTTGTGTGGAGCACTTGAGAAGCTTCTAGGACTGAGTTAGCTGTTTTGCCAGAGGTCCTGCCTCCATGCTACTGCACATGAACCAGTAAGGGCTCCTCCTTTCCCTTCCATTCCTTTTGTCTGCCCCTAATGCTGGAGAACATTGGGATTTTCTCCTCTTCCAATCCTCCTTCCTTGCATATTTTTTTTAAAAAATAACTTCTTACTGAACTGGCATTCAGCCTTTGGCTTGTTCTATAGATTTTGGATTTGTCTCTCCTTGGTCTACTCTAAATCTTCAAAGGCTTCCATTTCTTTTCTACCTCCCTCCCCTTTCCTTCCTTTCTTCTCTTTTTATAATTGTTAATTTATTGGTACGGTGGGCAGGAGGGAGAGTCTTTTAAAAACCTATCCTTTCCATTTCATTTGTGCAACCTGTAATATGGAGAACAACCAAAGCCATTTTCTTCATTAAGCCCCGCCCTAAGTAAAAAACTTTTAAAACTTTTTAAAACAACATTTTGAAGGTGTTCTTTATACTGTATGAAAAATTGGTGCTATTAGTAGTTGTTACATCATTTTGCAGAGTACTCTTAACACTTCATTACTCTAAAAGTAATGTGTTAATAAATGCATATTGTTCCCAGCAGGACAACCCATCCTAAGGTGCATCCGTTCCTGCATTTAAAAACCAAGCCATATGATACAGGCTTTATTGAAATGAATAGTGATTCTGCAACAACAGTGTGGGGTGAATTATCTATCCACTGTGGTTTGAGTCCATTATAAACTCTGCCCTAGAAAGAGAGCCTGAGTTTCTAAAGTTCTGAACTTCTTTTAAGTACAGTTTGAATTTGGCTGCCATGGACACCTTGAAGTGTATGTTCTCTGTCCTAAAAGCCTTTAAATTACAGTCAGTATTTTTCAATATCTCCCATAGCAGTCACCAGCAGTGGGTGCTGATACTCGACAACCTCTCCATTGTTTCTGTTGGAATCCCTATATATTACAGATCTTAATAAATGATATCTATCTCCATCAGTATTCTTACTAAGCTCTATGTACTATTGGGAACTAACACGGCTGCTCTTATTTTTACATGTGTTCTCGTTTTTAAGAAAATGTTTAATAACTTTCCTATGTAAAGATGGCAGTTCTGCCCACTAAAGAATTCTTTTGCATCTCATCAGTGATAATTCCCTAATAGTGTGATTTAAATTATATTATAGACTAAGCTGTGTTTATATGTCAGGAACGCAAAAAGAACAGGCCTTGGATTTCTGTTGTGATTGGGTATTGTCATACTATGTGCTCATTTTGTCAGTGCCTGCCCGAGGAGATAAGCAATCCAAGCGGTTGCCCAGGGTGACAATATTGTGAGGGTCATCATTGTCCTGTGCAGTTGGAAGAGTTTTGCTCTTTGACACTCTTGCATTTTGGGGGTACAGAGCGGATTGTACATTGCAGTAGCTTGGTCCACACTGAAGGTACAGTACATGATAATGGGGTATTATTGCTCCTGCTGCTCTTCTAAAAACATGAGTACAGAAGCTGGGATAATACACTTATCATGCTAGTACGTATAGTGTTTCTGTTATTATTAGTATTATTATTAATATTTGTTTCATTATTTGTATTATTGATACCATTATTTCTCCCAGTATTTTATGAAGTCCTGGTTTGGAATGTTAATTGAATGAAATGATAGAAGTTGATACTTTTTTCTTTCTTTTGTCTGTTTTGTTTTTTTACTCCTTCTGCTTAATCATTTTCATCATCGAGACTTCACAGTGCCTCGTGTGCATCTGTAAAAATTTTTTAGTGTTAATAAAATAAACTGTAATGTGCTGCAATACTTTTTTTTTAAACTGGAAGCTTCTCAATAATTCATAGTAATATTGCACTTTAGATCCATACCAGATCTTAGTGTTTTTTATTTGGATTTTGCATAGAAGAAAATCCAGCTTTTTAAAGAAAGAATGCCATGCCTTTAAAAAAAAAACACCACCAACAAAAACAGAGAAGCTGTACATTCCAGATGACAAGAAAGTGAGAGTTTAAAATAAAGTTTAAAAATTTCAATTGACAGACTTTGAAAATGTTTGAGGAGCAGAGAGCGGTGGTGGGAAGTGAGAAGGGCAGGAATTCATTCGTCCTTTATCTCTTTTATTCTGCTTTATCGTGCTTCAGCTCACACACTCCCCCCACCCCTTACCAAGGTGGAAAAATAATCTCTAAGCTTTTGTGCCTGGATGGAGCTCTTCCTTCCACCTCAACTACCTGCCTACAAACCCACCTTTAATCTGCCTGATGGATGGGGAAATGGGGCAGGTTCAGGTATTACTTAACACTGCTGTGGACAGATCACCTTTGTCTGTACCCTTGTGAGGGTTTGTCGCTAAGTTCACACAGAGGAGTGGGGCAGCCTGTATTTTTCCCAAGTAGACATGTTCATGAGCACCAAGAGGTCTTAGGGCCTGTCTTCTACTTTACATGTGGCTCAGGCTGACTGGTACCAGATTTATTTGGGGTGGGGGGCAGAAATAAAGGAAAACAGCCATCTCCCCTCCCCCCTTCTCAAGCTAAGGAGGGAAGGTGGGAGAAGACTCTGCCTTGCAATTTGTGGGTGTAAATCTAAGAGCTCTGATTTAGCTGCTTGCTTAGTTGCTGAAATTTGGCAGCGAGGCTTGGTTCTGGCAGAGGGTAATAGGAAAGGCTCATTGTAGGTCTGTCGTTTACACCATCTCCATGCACAACCCCTTGCTGGAATGTTTAGCCTGTTGAGGACTGCAGCCTTGTGAGCACGGTCAAGGTTAGAGATGGTCAGAGGGTGTGATGATACATGGAGGAATATACTGTACCATCTTTGGCTCTTGAGAGGGACAACTGGCCTGATTTGTTTGTATGTGCACTCACTGATGTACACCTCTCTGTTGTCTGTGCCATTTGGAGGTTTGGGGTGGTAAGGTGCCATGTGGATGGATGGCCTGCATTAGAGAAGGCCAGCAAACAAGGGTAGCTCATTTTTAATAAAGCAACTGGGAATATATTTTTGTGTGTGGCTTCTCCGTCTTCTACAATGTCCGAATATTTAAGGGCAGACATTAGAAAAGTACGGTAAAAGCAGTGAAGGACAGCACCCTTTCCTTTCCCTCTTAACTTTAGCTTTTTGTTTTTACGATCATCTTTTAATTCCTGTTCTTTTTTTACTCTATCCATTTTGCCATTTTGCTTTTTAATTTAATTTAATTTTGGTCTTCTGTTTCAGTTTCCAATTTTTTCCATACCGTTTTAATTTTTGTATTTTTTAAATTCTTTATATCTTTATTTAAAACCTAATAGTTCTACCTTTCCTTCTAAAGCTGAGTTTTCTGATTCCCTTTTGGTTCAGCATATCACATACGAAACAATAATCAGACAAAAAAAGAGTGGGGGCATTAGGATGGAAGATCTTCATGTATCCGCTTTGCACTGAGTAACTTTCAAAACAGTTTATGTATTTATATTATAAATTTTTTATATTTGCCATTTGTATAGTAGTTTATGGATTTTGACATGCGTAAATAATCTGGTGTTGAATGGGGATCCAATCTGCAAATTGTATTGTTACAGTTGGAAACGACTGGCATGTATCAGGAGGAAAATGATGGAAGATAGCACGTAGTAGAGGGGAACTTAGAGCTAGCAAATATTGTCTAGTAAGTAAAAGATACGATGGTGATTGGTTTTAAATTAATGCTTTCTGAATTGAGAAGAAGGTAGGGTGGATAAATCCTAACCGTGTGTATGTTGAAGAGAGGTTGTTAAAAATGGAAAAAAATACACCCCCCTGCTCCCGTCTTTTATTTTTGTACAAATAGTTTGGAGGAGAGAGACAACAGAAAAGGGGGGGGGAGAAAGAGAAAGACTGAACAGCTGCTTTTTCTGAGGCCTTGTGGGACTGTCTTTGTGGGGGGGAGAGGTGGGTGGATGTTAGGATATTTATTTATTTAAAATATTTTGCCAGTCACCTCTTTGCCAAAATCTCCTGGCCAATAAAATTTTCATTGCGGCTGGACTTGGCTTATTCATTAGATATGAACTTGTCGATTTGGCAAATTGTTTTCAATCTCTTAACTGCACAACCTCTCTCTCTCTCTCTCTCTCTCTGTGCCACCCCCTCCCTAATTCCTTCCCCTTCTCCGCCACCCCCCCCCCCCTCCGCCTCCCTTTCCCTTTGATGCAGCTATTGGCTGCTCTGCCATGTGTCTCCTTGCCAAATAGGTGGATCCTTCTTCCCTCTCTCTCTCTCTTTCTTTTTTTTCTGCTGGCATTGGCACAGGCAAATGGTTGGGGACTGAGCATGAAAGGAGAAAGCAAGCAAGCAAGAGAGTTTAAGAGGAAAAGGGGAAAGGAAAAAAGGGGGAAAACAACAACAACAACAACAAAATCTCCCATACCCCAGCAGTTGGGTTTTGCCAGCAGCCGATCACAGCTGATTCCAGAGCGGAGTCTGTCCCTTTTCCCCTAGACCTGCGGTCACCCCTATTCTCAGGCGGAGGGAGCCACATCTAAGTTGCATCTTTGCATTTTTGCCAACGCTGAACGGGCTTCTCTTCCCTCCTCTCAACTCCCCCTCCTCATTAGCTGCTGTTTTTTTTTCTTTTTTCCTCATCCTTCCATATATTATTACAGTATCATTATATTATTACCATTATTATCATTATTAGTAGTATCAGTATTATTCTATTTCTTTTAGAGGCACTTGGCATTTTAAACCTATTTTGCATGTATGGTGTTGTTGATTTATTTCTGTATTTTGCTGATGTTTCCATTTCTAACCTGCCTTCTTCAATTTTTAATCATTTTTTGCTCTCCCACTCTTTTTATTAAATAAGCCTCGAACAATTTGGTTAACATTTGCACTGAAGAATTCAGCCAACAATTGCCTAATTTAGGAAACATCCTTCATTCTTCTGTGCACTTCCTTCTTACATTTTTTACTTTTCTCCTTGTTCTTCCCTCCTCCCTCTTCCACCTCACAGCCCCAATATCCCCCCCCCCAAATACTCTGCAATTCTGAGCCCAGAATTTCTGAATCGGGGGCTTAGCTTCGCCGGGATGAGCCAGAGCAATGGTAATTATTTCAATTTTGACCTTTTTTTTCCCCTGGATGTTTTTAGCTTTAGGGAAATCTTTATTTTTAAATGTACAATTTAGAAAGCCCCTTAAAATTACCTGATTATATCAAAATTATCCCAGAGCATTGTGTTCAGAAAGGGGGGGATCGTAACCATTTTTCTTTGATCCCAACACTGCCAAAGTTTATTACTTTTATTGTTAAAGCTGGCCAAATTTTGCTTCCATTGTCTTACACTGTTTTTTCCTTTTTTCCTTTTCCTTTTTAATTTTATACTGGCATTACGGAAACAGTCCCTCCCCCCACCCCAACATTGCTGCTTGGCATCTCTTTCTTCTAGTGCGTTGTTACTGGGTTATTTTGATTAATTTTAAGCTTGCCGTAATTTGTCTTAACTTGTGATTGTTTTGGCATCACGTAAATTTTACAGTGTTATTACATTGAGACTCTTCCCTTCTTCCCATTTTTGTTTTCTAATTCCCCCTCCCCCCCTTTTTTTTCTTATTTTGTACCTTTCTCCTCACCTTGTTCTCCCCAGGATGAATTCCACCCCTTCATTGAAGCTCTCCTTCCTCATGTCCGTGCCTTTTCGTACACATGGTTCAACCTGCAAGCTCGGAAACGAAAGTACTTTAAGAAGCATGAGAAGCGGATGTCAAAGGATGAGGAGCGCGCTGTGAAGGATGAATTACTTGGTGAAAAGCCTGAGATCAAGCAGAAATGGGCATCCCGGCTGCTGGCCAAGCTACGCAAGGACATCCGCCCAGAATTTCGTGAGGACTTCGTCTTGACCATCACGGGCAAGAAAGCACCGTGTTGCGTCCTCTCCAACCCAGATCAGAAGGGCAAAATCCGCAGGATTGACTGCCTGAGGCAGGCTGACAAGGTTTGGAGGCTGGACCTAGTTATGGTCATCTTGTTCAAAGGGATCCCTCTTGAAAGTACTGACGGGGAGCGGCTATACAAGTCGCCGCAGTGCTCAAATCCAGGCCTTTGCGTCCAGCCACATCACATTGGAGTCACAATTAAAGAACTGGATCTTTACTTGGCGTATTTTGTTCACACTCCTGGTAGGTCAGAAAAACAGCACAGCTCATTTTGTGTGTGTGTGTGTTTGTGTGTCTTTGTGTGTGTGTGTGTCTGTGTGTATGTGTATATTTAATTTTAAAAGTGTTTTTTTAACAATGTACTTATTTTCTTTCAGTGTGTTTCCTTCCATCCATAATTAACAATTTGCTAGCTTTAGAAGTGTGCTAGGATGATCCTACCATACTCAATCCTTGGAATATAGTCCCTGTGGCAACTGACCTTTCTTAACTTCCTGTTTCTTTTCTACCTGTGATGCCTTATAACTTCCAATGGTGAAGAACACACCCCCGCCTTTTTTTCCATGAAAGCTGGGGAAGTAGAGAATAAGAATATTTATGTAAATAGCAGGTTACTGAAGAAAAAGAGAGGCTGGTTTTATTTGAATTTGGAGTTAAGAAACAATTATCTTAGAGTGAATTTTTATTGTCTTTTCTTTCATTTTTCTCCCTCCAAATTCCTTTTGTTGGTTCAGTTTGATATATTGATATGTCCAGTTGTTTGTAAACCACAAGCCTACAAACAAACATTCCTGGACATTTTTGTGCAGTGTACAGGAGCACTGGAGTAATAAAATTGCATTCGCAGTATCTGTTGTCCCAGATAGGAACAAGTTTCTCAAAGAGGAAGGAGCATGGGCAGGATGATTTGAGACCCTTTTCTTTTGTTTCTCTAGCCTCTTTTTTGATTTATCCAATTCTTCTACGTGTGTTTGGGCCTCTATGCTCTTCAATTCTGTTTTCCTTTTATATTTTGCTCTCTTTTTGTTTTGTTTACTTTCCAGCTGAAAAATGCTGGTTAATTTTTAGCTGCTGCCCAGATACATCTAATCTGCTGCAGACTTTGAAATCCAAATGAGCTGGCAGCAGAGTGGCTGTATCTGTGATTGTGTGTTTACCTTCCGCTACACCACAGTGTTTTGTATTGAAAGGGATCTAATAGTTTACCTTCTCCTTCTTCTGTTACTCTCTGTTCTTCACTTCTTCACTTCCTCTTTTTAATTTTTTTTAAGTAGCGAAAGTCATAATAATTAGGCTTGTTTTCTGAGTTGTTATTTCTTTCCTTGTTGCACTTTTTCTTTCTCTGCTGTGTAGAACCTAGATCTCTTTCCTTGTTGCCTCATACATCACAGGACAGATTTTGTTTCTTTAGTTTCAGTCTAATAATACTGTCAGGAGTCTTTTCTCCTTTTTTAGAATATGTCCGTCCAGTGCGTGTACAGCAGCCTCTGGACAATGTCAGGAGGTTCATCTCAGCGCCTGCGGATGGCATTACTGGCACACTCATATCATCTATTCTGCACAGCTCAGGGCACTTCCAGGCTTGGCAAGTAACAAACAGTATTCGTCTGTACCTGTTGTACAAGTCCTTTCGCTTTCCCTTTCCCCCTCTTGGTGAAGTAAAGACAAAACTAGGGCACCAGAATCTTCTCAGCCAATTACACACATACCCATTCTTAGCACAGAGATATCATCACCTCCTTCTGCCTGGTACAGAATCTTATCACATGAACAAACATACAAAATTTGAGCACAGGAGCACAGAAATTCCAGTTCATGCAAATGCTACCATATGCCATATATACTGCATTTTCACATATACAAGCTCATATGTGTAAAACCCAATATGAACCTGTTTTTTTGTTTTGTATCTTTTTATTAGATTTTTTTAAGCTTTACCTTCAGGCCATAATGGCACCAAGAAAGTAGATTTTAAAACCATGAGAAAAATATATATATTTGGAAAATGCATCCAGATGTTATCATGTTGGACCTGAAATATCACATCTTTTAAAAGATCAGTCAGTCAATCAATCAATCAAATCCCACATCAGGCATATAAGGGCTTGGCAAGCTCAGTCATCTTTGGCATTTTTGTCAATACGTTTTTCCCTTGTTGCTGGCAGGCATACCAACTGAGTAGTTAAAAAGTATGATTTGGCCTCCAAGCTTTCTTTTATGTTTCTTTTAATGTGGATCTCACAAATATAAGTGCTTTTATTTTTTAAAATTGTTCTCACAAATATGTACTCACATGCACACGATAGGACAGTATCTTTCCTTCCCCCTTATGAGAATGTACTTCTAGAGTAGTTTTTTTATTTATAATTAGTTATCTGTGTAGGTTTCTTTATCCTTCCCAAAGTCCGTAAGATCAGAAGGTGATGAACTTCTTTTGAACTAGAAAGATTTAATAATATGTTTGTTATCATAGTAGAAAAATAGCAGGGAGGTGGAGACAGGTTGAAGGACCCACACATAAGAAAGGAACCAATTTCACATTGAAATCCCAGAGGATTTTGATTGTATGCTCTTCTTTTGTTATGTTATAATGAATAGCAAATCATCAATAGTTTGGTGGTGATGATGTGGTGTCACAGAGGGCTAATTTATCTTTTGTTAATAGATGCAGCCTATTCAGGAAATATCACTTCATTTGTAAGACCTCATTTAATTTCTGTGTTCGGACATTAAACAGAGTGTTGAGAAATGTCTTGGCTAGTTGTACTTTGGTGTGTGGTGTTGTTAATGTGCACCAGCTAATTTTTTTTTTTCCGGCCAGGATTTCACAGACTAGGCCACATAGATGCAGTTCTGTTCCTGTGGTGTTATAAAACACCTTGAGTCCCCTGTTCAGTGCCAGGTCTGGGAATAAAGTAATGAAGTGAGTGAAAGTATGGTGAAACGGGAAATTGATTTCACCAAAAGATTCCGAGTGGGAGATAATGGGGAGAGCAGTGTCTGACAAAATCAACATCATGGCAAGAAGAGGAAGCTTTTTCTGTATTTTACATTCAAACCATGTTTGCCATTGGTCTTTGGAAATAAAATCCAGGTTAAATGAATTCTGAGTGGCAGCTACTCCACTGTACTACCTTGTTTATTCTGGCTTTTGTCCTCTCTAGTCTTCTGCCACAGCTCTTAGCAGATAACATAAGTGGGTAATGTGAGTAGTATAACCTAGATGTTTTCAGGACTGCTTGCAATGGGGACAACTGTATTCATCTCTCAAACTTCCACAACATTTGTTTGTTTGTTTGTTTGTTTGTTTATTCATTTATTCATTTATTTATTTATTTGCCAGCCCGTTAGTGTGATGCACTATTCTGGACAGTTAGCAAATGATGAAATCAGCAACAAAAGCAAAACAACATACAGTAAATTAATATATTTGTATTCTGCCTTTCTGATACATGAGTATTCTTGGAGTGGTGGTGAGATCTTATAGGGGAAAATCTCTTTGTGCGTGTGAGTATGTTGCCTATCTTCTTGCCTGTCGGTTTTTGCCCAGCAGCTCCAGTTGATTTTTTTTAAAAAATCATTTATCATAAATCTGGCTTTGAAGAGGATCAATTTTGTGACATATTTGTGGTATTTGATCTGCCAGAAATTTCTTAGCAGGCTGGGTCTGGTATTCTGGTGTTAATCTGTAAAACCCTGAATAATCTAGGGCAAGGAACAACTTCTCCCATATAGACTTCTGCTGTGCCCATTATTTGAATCCTTCTCTGTTCTGCCATACCCATCTGATATCAGCCATGAAGGCAGCCTTTTTGCTGTGGTGCTTATTCTTTGGAATACCCTCCCATTAGAAATAAAATATGTGCCAGCTATCATGCAGTTTAGATGTACGTTGGAAATGTGATGGCCTTTGTGATTTTTAGTTCATGGCCACTGCTTGGGTTTACAGAGTTGTTTTTGCTTTAAAGTATGATTTTTATTTATAGTTACAGCTTTTTGTTGTTGTTTTATTTGTGGTTTATTTTTTATATTTAGATTTTTTTTTATTGTTGTGCATCACATAGGTGTGTTGGAAATGCCAGGTGTTATAGAAATACCTAAAAAATTAATGAAGAAAATAAATGAACAAGTAACTAATATTAACCGGCACAGCATAGGTTAACCACCCATCCTTCCCACCATTGATACCCATCTAGAAGTGAAACACGCTTACATTGGCCAATATCATGTTGCTTAGGACAATAAGTTGCACTAAAGTAAGCCCACTGAATCAGTGACGGTTTAGTGAATCAACTGTGCCGTTCTAAAGTTAGTCACTCTTAAAGTAGACCCAGTTGAACCAGTGGAACCTATGGAAAGTTGACTTACTAAATCCTCATTGATTCAATGGACCTACTGTAGTATGATTTACTACAGTAACAACAGAATTTTGGCTATTGTGTAAGCAGATGTGGATTTGGGAAATTTTGTTTCTCAACATTTTGTTTGTCAAGATAGTGTGAAATTCAGCTCTAAAAGATGGCAGTATTCCTAACTTAGCTATGGCTGCAAAAAAATTTTTTTTAAAAAGAAAGATTAAAAAATGCTGTCTAGTTTGTTAGTTTCCCAATCTTAGCAGTAGCTTCAGCAATATTAAGAACCGTAAGGAGGAATTTTTTGGAAAAACAACATGAGGATGACAGCCTGACAGAAATGCCAATTGTCATAACTTCATCGAAAGTCTTCTGTGTGTCTGGTCTATGTGGTAGAAATTATGCAGGTTTCTAGCTTTTGTGGGGATTGGAGAAAAGAGTGTTTTTGCAAAATATCTTAGTATCTGTATGTTTACTTCCCCTAAGCAAAGAGCCAGAAAGGGGGAGGGAGAAGCAGTTTTAATTGGAGAATACTGAAGGAGAAAGTGTTCTAATGCTCTGATTACAGAATTTCTATTGCAGTTACTTTGACCATTAAGCTGTGCTTACAATTGTCTTCTCTTATTGTTACTTGTGCACTGGTTCTCATATTGCACTGATGGCTGAAGAGAAAGGTGGAGGAGGGAGTATGGAAAGAGCATTCCTGGGAAAGGGGGATAAGTGGACTCAGCCTCTAGATCCCTAATTGCAGCTGCAGAAGTCTGGGAAGTAATATACTCTTCGCTAGGACTGAATGTAATTTGCTTTTGATTACGCTCATTTTGCTTCTAGAGGAAACTTTGCATTACTTGGATAAAAGTAACATGAAAATAAATTTGGATTCCCCCACCC